GTAACCGATCTGTACCTAAAAACCGTTTCTGGATGAACGGAAAGCCATGAGGAAACAAGCGAAACAGGCTGGATCATTTATACATGTACCAGTACCTGTGTATATATCTATGCATATATAATCATACATATATATATATATACACAGTATATGTACTAATCCAAAGCCTGATTTAAGGTCATTGAAGACTGGTTTCCCCAATATCAACCGTCATTTATGGGGCTTGGTCGTTTGCAAATTGTCCAAACAGCAGGCCACCCTCTAGCTGAAACGTGACACTGAGGCGCGGTTTCTGATCAGAATGCTTTGGAATTTCGCTGATGTTTGTGTCTATATGGCTACTCAACATGAAAATGACCACAGCACCAAACATCACGGGAATACATTTATACGATTATGTATGTATGTGATGTGAGGTGAGGTGATGTGATGTGATGTTAATGTGATGTTAATGTGATGTTAATGTGATGTTAATGTGATGTTAATGAGATGTCATTGTGATGTCAATGTGATGTTAATGTGATGTTGATGTAAGGTAAGGTAAATGTAAATGTGTTGTTAATGTGATGTTGATGTAAGGTAACGTAAATGTAAATGTAATGTAAATGTAATGTAATGTAATGTAAATATATGTAAATGTAAATATAAATGTACTGTAATGTAATGTAATTTATACAATTATGTGCTAGTATATATGTATATATATGTACTGTATACAGTTTTTGTATATATATACATTTATACATGTATATATGTATATATATATATATGTTTTTCAAGTACATCCAAGTACAATATATTGACAACATATAGGGAATGGTTGGGATGTATCCTTCAGGGATATCGAATCTCGTACCACGAGTTTGGATGATTTTGGCAGGCTGACACTGAGCGATCTCGAGGTTCTTCGCTGTGAAGCAACCATTTCAAATAGACCTGGGCCAGAAGATGTTACCGCTCAGATGTGAGCAGCAAAAATGTGGATGGGAAGCTGTGAAATTACCCTCTGGTAATTTAACGTAGCTATGGAAAATCACCATTTTTAATGGGAAAACTCACTATAAATGGCCATTTTCAATAGCTACGTTAAATTACCAGAGGGTAATCAAAGTTGCTATCAAAAACAGAAAGCAACAGATTGCTACGCCTTGATGATGATCCTTGGAAATTGAAGGGTTCCTATGGGTTCCTCGTTTTCACACGCCCAGATGTTGTGGGAAAAACGGCTAATGACGCTATAGCTATCATTGCAGTGTGATCAGTCGGTGATGGGTAGATGTAGGGCATGGTCATGCCATCATCAGAGATGATGATAAGATGTTTTTTTCAATGAGTTGTGACCGTCCAGTTACGACGTAAACTTACGCATATAAAAGCACCATTTCGACCATGGCACAGAGTTGTCACCTGACTGTGAGCCGAAAACCAACACCCCCCGTGGGCGCCCCCAACTCCCAAGCTGCGCTCCAGGGATCTGAAGGCGACCAAGCCTGGTTCCGGTCGGTCATTCAGAATGGTGCGACGACTCACATGGTGAAAGTTTAACCGAGTAAAAAAACCAATGAAAAATCACGGGAACTGCTGGTGAAAAATGCTTCAAAATCAAGGGAATTAAGGTGATAAGTTGACTGAAACTTCATTCATGTTGTTTATGTGTTGGTTGGTTGAAAAAAACTACTCGTAAATACAATAATTAGGATTTATGGTGGATCTATAGAACTAAAGTATGGGACACGGCGACAGAAACTGTTCATGTCGATACAAGCAAAAATTCTTTGTGGACTTCTCGAAATTCAGAGTAACATAGAAACGTACATGCATAGTATATATAATCCGTTCCCCCTATTACTAAACCCCCCCCCCAATACTAAAAACTAGGGTCCATCTCCCAGTTTGGAAAATTTCAGGTTGGCCAATTTGACTTTTAATTGATCCCCTTTAGAACACAACTTAAAAATAAAGTTACCATTTGTGGGTTTTGCCCCCTAATAATAAAAACTAGTTAAACCCGGGGTGTTTATTATTAGGGTCCATCCGATTTTTTTTTGTTTTTTTAATTAGTATCAGGGCCCGCTTCAAAATCCAATTTTTGGCAATATTTTAGTTGCGTTATATAAGGAAATTTAATTGATTTTGAAATCGGAAAAAATAGTTTCTATTATTAAGGTTTTAAATGTATTAATAGGGTCCGCTTCGAAATCCAATGTTTGGCAATATTATAATTGCGTTATATAAGGAAATTTAATTGATTTTGAAATCGGAAAAATAGTTTTTATGTTGTAAGGTTTTAAATTTATTAATAGGGTCTGCTTCGAAATCCAATGTTTGGCAATATTTTAGTTGCGTTATATAAGTAAAGTTAATTGATGTTGAAATCGGAAAAAATAGTCTTTATTATTAAGGTTTTAAATTTATTAATAGGGTCTGCTTCGAAATCCAATGTTTGGCAATATTTTAGTTGCGTTATATAAGTAAAGTTAATTGATGTTGAAATCGGAAAAAATAGTCTTTATTATTAAGGTTTTAAATTTATTAATAGGGTCTGCTTCGAAATCCAATGTTTGGCAATATTTTAGTTGCGTTATATAAGTAAAGTTAATTGATGTTGAAATCGGAAAAACATATTATTAAGGTTTAAAGTTTAAATTTATTGATAGGGTCCGCTTCGAAATCCAATGTTTGGCAATATTTTAATTGCGTTATATAAGGAAAATTAATTGATTTTGAAATCGGAAAAACTAGTTTTTATTGTTTAAGGTTTTAAATTCATTAATAGGGTCCGCTTCGAAATCCAATGTTTGGCAATATTATAATTGCATCATAAAAGGAAATTTAATTGATTTTGAAATCGGAAAAATAGTTTTTATGTTGTAAGGTTTTAAATTTATTAATAGGGTCTGCTTCGAAATCCAATGTTTGGCAATATTTTAGTTGCGTTATATAAGTAAAGTTAATTGATGTTGAAATCGGAAAAAATAGTCTTTATTATTAAGGTTTTAAATTTATTAATAGGGTCTGCTTCGAAATCCAATGTTTGGCAATATTTTAGTTGCGTTATATAAGTAAAGTTAATTGATGTTGAAATCGGAAAAACATATTATTAAGGTTTAAAGTTTAAATTTATTGATAGGGTCCGCTTCGAAATCCAATGTTTGGCAATATTTTAATTGCGTTATATAAGGAAAATTAATTGATTTTGAAATCGGAAAAACTAGTTTTTATTGTTTAAGGTTTTAAATTCATTAATAGGGTCCGCTTCGAAATCCAATGTTTGGCAATATTATAATTGCATCATAAAAGGAAATTTAATTGATTTTGAAATCGGAAAAATAGTTTTTATTGTTTAAGGTTTTTAATTTATTAATAGGGTCTGCTTCGAAATCCAATGTTTGGCAATATTTTAGTTGCGTTATATAAGTAAAGTTAATTGATGTTGAAATCGGAAAAAAATATTATTAAGGTTTTAAATTTAAATTTATTGATAGGGTCCGCTTCGAAATCCAATGTTTGGCAATATTATAATTGCATCATAAAAGGAAATTTAATTGATTTTGAAATCGGAAAAATAGTTTTTATTGTTTAAGGTTTTAAATTTATTAATAGGGTCTGCTTCGAAATCCAATGTTTGGCAATATTTTAGTTGCGTTATATAAGTAAAGTTAATTGATGTTGAAATCGGAAAAAAATATTATTAAGGTTTTAAATTTAAATTTATTGATAGGGTCCGCTTCGAAATCCAATGTTTGGCAATATTTTAATTGCGTTATATAAGGAAAATTAATTGATTTTGAAATCGGAAAAAATAGTTTTTATTATTAAGGTTTTCAAATTCATTAATAGGGTCCGCTTCGAAATCCAATGTTTGGCAATATTTTAATTGCGCTATAAAAGGAAATTTAATTGATTTTGAAATCGGAAAAAATAGTTTTTATTTTGTAAGGTTTTAAATGTATTTATAGGGTTCCCTAATAATAAATTTCTCCTAATAATAAAATCTACCTGAGGTGTTTATTATTTGGGGAGTGGGGGGGTTAGTATTAGGGGGAAGGGATTATACCACGCCTGGCTTTATCTCGAACTGGTGGATGATTACCCCAAAATTCAACAGAAAAAAGATAACATTTTCTGAAGCCTCCAGGGGTCCCATATCAACACCGCTACCGCCGTGACGCAAAATCCAAACATCCTCCTAGGCTACGGTGGCAGTCACCCGAGGTCCCAAACAAAGCCGAAAGCAGATCTGCTGTTCCTTCTGTCCGGGAAACTCCAAGGCCGTCCTGAGCGCCATAGCAGCTATGTTCGACTGGCAATTCATCCAATGGATTGATATACGGATCATTTCTACTGGGAACATCTGGGAATCCTTGGTTTTTACCATGGGTTTTACCATGAAAAATATAGAGGTGGCATGGTGCCATGTCATTCTTTCAATTGCAGGTGTAGGGACCCAACGTTCGGTGCTACAGATGGATCATATGGGCCACATATGGGCCTGTCTGAAAAAAACCGGTGGCCCAAAACTTGCCCCAAAAAATGTGCTTGGAAAGACTCAATTCATAGCAACTTCTCATTTGATAAGGGAATATGGGTACAATAGCTCAGCTCACCACTCTCTCGCCACCGGAGATCATATTCTTCTAACTATTCACATGAAGTCCTCATTATGATCATTTATAACTCCCGGTTTTCCTTCCTTCATCCCATGTGGGATAACCCCTGCATTCATTGGGCTTGGAGAGAAGCCACCTATGGGACATATGCAGCCAACTTCAATATTAGCGTATAGAATACTTTAGGTATCATTTAGGTAAGCTATTATAGATGTTATTATCATAGATGTTATACTAGTTATACCTCTCAAAGATTGTTGTCCGAATCCTCCGAAAAATCGAAGAAACTCACTACCATCTGGTTATTGAACAGTTCGCCATGGAAAGATCCACCATGTTTAAGTTCGGTAAACCATCTATTTCGAAAATCGGGCCATCTGGCCATCACCATGGCTAGCCCTGTGAATGTCATAACCAGATAACCAGATTATTATTAACCATCATTAACCATATAATAACCATATATAAACCATTATTATCAGTATATTAACAGTAAACCTTACTAAACCCAACCACCGGGATCCATCGGGTGAATTCTGGGGATCCATCGGGATGCCATTACGTGGATTCCACAGGTGCCCCGACTCCGCCACGACATCCTCTTTCAGTGATGCCTGCGATGCGAAAGATACCCATAGGATCCATGTATGCTATATATGGTAACATGGATCCCATCAATATACCCCCTTCATGTTAGCATACATACCAGCACCATGGATCCGTCATGGGATATTGATGTTTTAAAATCAGAATCAAATATTGATGCGATCACTGGGAAACTGGAAACGGAAAAATCTCCCTTGATCTTTTTTCTGTTTTCCAATAAATTCATGTAAAATCACCATATCAGGTGGTGTTTTGTGTCCATCTCCCAAGCTTTCCTGGGAAGAAAAAGTTGCCTCCGTAAGGCCACCCAGATGCTGCACGATGCGAAAAACAAAGGCTCCCAACCTCAGTGCGGCGCTCCAATCTCCATCCAGTGACGTGGCGACGTGAGATCGTTATAGTCAATTCAAATAGATGGATAGATTTATGATGTTTATATATATATATATCATTGCATATTATATATATAATTATAGATAGATGGGGAATGATACGGGATATAACCCCCAGATCAACTTAGGTCATCAGACATCAGCCTTGAATTGGGCTGGCTATTTTTGTCGATGTCGCGCCGCATTTGTTCGAAGCCCCAAAATGACATCCTGCAACAAAACTGTCATCTTTCATCCCTTCCCCAAGATCAATGGGAATTTCAGGATCCTAAAATGCAGGTACTGTACCATATAAGGCCTATATAAGGCCTATGTAAGGGGATATCCCCCCAAAATATGGCCTTATATGGTACAGTACCTTCATTCTAGGATCCTGAAATTCCCATTGACAAGATTGAATATTGTACACCCTTGGAAACTATGGTTTGGTAATGTTTGGCATTGGATCGATTCTTTGGTTGCCCATGCGTGGGGTATCTAATATTAGGTAACTTTTAGGGGGCAGGGATGATTGAATCACGAGGACCCGGTTGTGTATGCACAACATTCCCAACTTTTGCCACTTGAACCCACAGTGTTGTTGGCAAAGTTCCAAGTTCTTGTTGGCAACATCACGATGTTCATTGGCAAAATCCAGATGTTCCTGCTAAAATCGAAATCTTGCTGACAATATCTGCAAGTCTTGTGGCTAAAAACCATCTCTTGCTATTAAATTCTATTTGGTCAGTGCTCAAAACCCTGTCATTCCATTCTACTGGTTGGTTCAGAACAGGAGTACCAGATTACCATAATGGATAATGAGAACCCCCAAAAGATTAGATAGTACAACCCCCTAAAATCATCAATCTGGCTGGGTCTTGAACACTGCTCTATTGACAATCTTGTCGCGATTGGCGAATTCACATGTTTGCCATTTCCCTGATAGGCCAGCCAGTGAGGTAATAAAATCACCATTGTTCCAGCCTTCTTGTTCTCCTTTAATTGCCTAACATAGGTTTACCCGAAATACAATGCACCCTCTGGTAAACTAACATAGCTATTGAAATGGCCATTTATATCCATTTATAGTGGATTTACCCATTAAAAATAGTAATTGTCCATAGCTATGTTAGTTTACCAGAGGGTAAATCCCATTAAATCACATTAAACCACCATAAAGCATCATTAAATCACCATTTTCCTATGGTTTTCCTGAGGGTATTGAATGACATCAATAAACCGCATCTCCATCGGACGAAACAACGCTTTTTCCAGAAGACGAGGTGTGATCTGTCAAGGCCACCGTGTCGTCAAGGCTGCCTTGGGGCTTGGGAACTAGTATGAGATCATGCATAACCCATAGGATCCATGGTGCTGGTATATTAATGCTAACATGAAGGGGGTATATTGATGGGATCCATGTTAACATATATACCATACATGGATCCTATGGGTAAGCTTGATAACTTTGATTCACACCTGTTTATAGTTGTGGATCATGATCAGCAGAGCCTCCCAATTACACCCCAAGATGGGATCTAGTATCATAGTATAACCAGCAGAAACTCGGGACAAGAGGCACTTTCCGTATTGTGCAACATCTGTGTCCACCTTCCATCACAAATCGCATATGCTCCCAAAACTATGATATACCAGTATGTTATTGATGGAAAAATGGTAGATGTTGACATCTACCATTTTTGTGGTCTATGCGGTCTATGGATTTCAAACATGTTTAACCTACCAATTTTCTGGGCAAAGGTTCTCATGGCGGCGCAACTTCGAGGATCACCAAGGCACGTGATTTCCGCGCCGCGGGAGGAATTTCCGCCTTCTGGACCTCGAAATGTGACTGGCAGTTGGATCCACGGCTTTTTGGCAAACCCCCAGATTGAAAAATCGAAATGTAAATCGTCACTATTTGGCGATTTTACTTTTCTATCTTTGTGGGATTACTATATATACTATATATTCCAATAAATATTCCAATAAATATATATATATTACTATATATCTTTGTGGGATTACTATATATTCCAATAAATATCCTATCGCAACATCCAGTGAATCCAGTGGTTGATCATCATATTGCATCAGAGCTAAGAAGTGATGCATCGAAGCGTGAAACATTGATCGCCCTAAAAAGTCAGCGTCCTTGTTTGCCAACGCGCGATGCAAAAAAGTCCTCGATGTCTCTTGTTAAATTGAATGTTCGATTGTTTCAATATCAAGAAAATCCATGTCTGAGGAAACCACTGTCTGCTTAGCTCAAGTCGGTAGCACCAAAAAGCGTTGACTGACTGGATGCATGTCATTTCCAATGACCAAAACCATCCAAAATCTCTGTGATGGATCCGAAAAATCCCCGATGGATCACTCAGCCGAATCGTTGGTTTCGACGAAGCGTCTCAACAAAACTATACGGCGCCATTGTCATAGAAACTATCTGAAACCATCAATCAGATATATTGATATATTGGACATGTTTACCCATTATATCACATGTATATTATACATGATCAATCATTATCCTTCAATACTTAGGGGTGCATCCCACTTAGTAAATGGTTTATACACCCGTTTAATCGTTTATATATGGAATATCGCTTATATCATAACTTATACATGGCTTACATATGGCTTATAAACATTTATTTTTAAAAAAAATCTAAGTCACACATAGCACCATGGATTATATGGATTATATGGTTTATATGGATTATGTCCTACAACCGGTCCCGGAGTCCCGCCTCGTGCGGATCGAGCCAGCCACGGCTGTGGACATCAGCTTGGATGAAGGCCAAGATGGTGTCGCGCCTGTCCACAGCGGCGATTTTTCAAAGATAGCCATGGAAAATGCCCATGAAAAAAAATAGATGGTTTACCTACGCATGTTTACCCATGAAATACTCAATGAAGATGTAATTTATGGTGATTTCCCATAGCTATGTGACAGATTAGCAGAGAGTAAGTATTGCAACACACTGAAAGGTCTGATGTTGCAGTCCCCCAAAAAGTCGCCCTTTTTCCCGAATGCGTAGCGAAGGGTTCCCGTTTATAGTCTGGGGGTCTAGGGGCTGGACCCTTGTTCGCCTCGAGTTGCTCGTCGGGTCGGCGTCGCGTCGTCGTCGGGTTGGCGTCGGGTCGGCGTGGCGTCGTTAATTCCGTGTCTATGGGGGAAACTGCAAACCTCTCCTTTTCGAAGGTTTCCAAGCAGGTTGTCATGTCGTTCTGCGTGGCAGGCGTGGCACTTTGTGACATTCCAACCTGTTTGCTAACGTGTCGAAAGTGTCAAAATTGGAAGATTTCTCGCACGAAATGCTCGTTTTGCTGCACCCACGTGTCTCGTCTCGAGTCTCTGGTTTTCCTGTGGCGTCGCCGTGTCTATGGGGGAAGCTGCAAAACCTCTCCTTTTCGAAGGTTTCCAAGCAGGTTGTCATGTCGTTCTGGTGGCAGGCGTGGCACTTTGTGACATTCCAACCTGTTTGATAACGTGTCGAAAGTGTCAAAATTGGAGAATGTCTCGCACGAAATGCTCGTTTTGCTGTGCCCACGTGTCTCGTCTCGAGTCTCTGGTTTTCCTGTGGCGTCGCCGTGTCTATGGGGGAAGCTGCAAAACCTCTCCTTTTCGAAGGTTTCCAAGCAGGTTGTCATGTCAGTTTGTAGTACAAAGTAGTACTGGGAAGTGCTTTGTGCAAGCTTTGTAGTGCAAAGTAGTACTGGGAAGTGCTAGTACTGGGAAGGACTTTGTGCAAGCTGTCTAGTACAAAGTAGTACTGGAACGTGCTTTGTGCAAGCTTTGTAGTACAAAGTAGTACTGGGAAGGACTTTGTGCAAGCTTTGTAGTACATGTAGTACTGGGAAGGACTTTGTGCAAGCAATGTAGTACAAAGTAGTACTGGGAAGTGCTAGTACTGGGAAGGACTTTGTGCAAGCTGTCTAGTACAAAGTAGTACTGGAACGTGCTTTGTGCAAGCTTTGTAGTACAAAGTAGTGCTGGGACGTACTTTGTGCAAGCTTTGTAGTACAAAGTAATACTGGGAAGTGCTTTGTGCAAGCTTTGTAGTACAAAGTTGTACTGGGAAGTGCTAGTACTGGGAAGGACTTTGTGCAAGCTGTCTAGTACAAAGTAGTACTGGAACGTGCTTTGTGCAAACTTTGTAGTACAAAGTAGTGCTGGGAAGCGCTTTGTGCAAGCTTTGTAATACTAGTAGTGCTGGGAAGCAGTTTGTGCAAGCTTTGTAGTACAAAGTTGTACTGGGAAGTGCTTTGTGCAAGCTTTGTAGTACAAAGTATTGCTGGGAAGGACTTTGTGCAAGCTTTGTAGCACAAAGTTGTACTGGGAACTAGTTTCCGCAAGCTTTGTAGTACACAGTAGTACTGGGAAGTGCTTTGTGCAAGCTTTGCAGTACAAAGTAGTGCTGGGAAGTGCTTTGTGCAAGCTTTGTGGTACAAAGTAGTACTGGGACGTCTTACACTTTACACACTCTACACTCCACACTTTACACTCCACACTCCTTACTTTCCACTCCACACTCCACACTCAACACTTTCCACTCCACACTGCAGACTGGTAACAGGGGAAATATGTACTGTCTTCCAGCGATGTTTTCCATGCGTGTCTTTGTGCGTTAGTTGTCTCTTTGTGAACTGTTGATCAGGTGCCTTCGCTGAGACAATATGCGCGCACGATGCATGAAAAAAAAAGGTTCGTTTTCCTATTGTAGAGGTGTTCACTCGTAGTCCAAGAACGTGAATACATTTGGGTTCGTGGCTTCCATCTTGTTGTATGGAAAAAAATATGACCTAACGCTGAGAAAAAAATACGACATGGACTGGTTTGCTTGGGAAATCGGGAAATCGTTCAAGGCAAGTGTTGGCTTTAAAGCAGTATCAAACAGCCACCTAGTGGGATCAAACACAGTTGACAGCCGTCAGAATCAGAGCTGTAGCAGAAGTGGTTTCATGCAGTGTGGCTATAAATGCGTAGCAAATGCTCTTGGTGAAGTTCACTAACAATGAGAACGAACATGCTTTTCAAGTAGCAATGAGAAGGAAGCAATATCAATGTAACATGATGTGACCACATATATCACTATTGATCTGTAGGGGCTGCACGTCATCTCCAGAATGTATGTATGAGGGAAACTTCCAACACTCGTAGCACCAGTGGCCAAATGGTAGGTTGGATTGAATTGGAATGTAACTCTCTCAGTTCTTGTTGGCGTTATCGTGCAGTTTGATGTTGGTTTATGTTTCATGATTCCTTTGATGAATCATGTGATATCCAAGCGATATAATGCATAACGTACTACCCTCAAATAAGTCAGCATGGCAATGGCAAATGACAGCTTGCAATGGCTACATCCGCAAATATCGGATGATCCATTGCCATTGTTTGATGAGCAGAGGGCATGCATTTATTCATGCCAAATGCCAAGCACTTGGGAAACCTCAAGTCAATGGCCATTTCAGGAACCTAAATTGGAGGTACCTACCATATATAAGGCCTATGTAAGGCCTATATAAGGGAATATCCCCACAAAATACATGGTACAGTACCTCCATTTTAGGATCCTGGAATTCCCATTGATCAAGGGGCACCCCAACAACTCAACCTTGGCACATGGGCAGCCCGACCAGCTAAAATGCGGCATGCTCTTGCTCAGCAATAAGCAACACCTTGGCGACTGTGCTCTGTAAGATGGAAAAACTCTGGGGACAAAGGCACAGAAGAAGATCCTCCTTCAGCGATTTGAAATCCAAAATGGCCGCCCTTACAGTGGTTAAAAAGCCACCTTCCAGTGGGATGTGAGCTTCCTCATGGCTGAGCCCCATGCGAAAAACGATATGCTGCGATCCACCAAGAACCAAGGCCAAGGGAATCGGATGTTTCTTCCCAGGTATATGTCAAAATTGAACATCACCAGGGTGGACTGATCCTACTTCCGTGTCTTCTATGTATATGTAGAGTGTAGATCAGGATATCTACTTATCATATGATCCTGTGGTACGCATCATCTACGTTTGTCTACTGTCCCATGTAGGATGAAACAAACCAGCAGCAGCCTTTTGACAATGAACTATGACAAGCAATTCACTGCGAAGATCCTATCAAAGACCCGATGTTAAAGGTACCCAATCCCAATTAGTTCGATGATTCTTATATAACGTGGTATACCGGTATACCCAATAATAAACCTAAACTGGGGATGGTTTGAATGATTGGCTTTACCACAGTATATATATACACATTATATACATTATTATATTACATATATACTATATAATATATTATATATTATTACATATATATTACACACATATAATTTATTACCACATATATTTGTTTATATCATATATTTGTTTATATCATATATTATATCATATATTATATAATATCATACATTAATTCCGTTAATACTAAATGGCCACTCAAATCAACGTTGATTTCCCAGCCTCTGGGGACACCCAACACTCTCCAGCCTTCAAGTAGGGCACGGCACCTCGTGAGACAGCAGGCCAAATGGGAGATATCAGTGTTATATCACTTCATTTAAAAAGTTTTTTGGTACAACTTGTTCTGATAATGTGTTCATATTTCAAATACATATGTATGTATATATATTTATACAATTAAGTTACATACATATGTATAATATGTATATATGATTATATATGATTCAAGCGCAACCATCATTGGCAAACAAGCCAGTGGTTGGTGGTTTTTCGCCATCCCAAAAATGTCACGACAGCGGTCACGTTGGGTCTGAATGACACCTTTCAGTCTCACATTCCTTGGGTTTCATGAAATCAACAGAATGTCCTGTGAAACACTTGCCAATTACCCGGCCTGGTAAACATACAAAAAACTATGGAAAACCACCATTTTCAATGGGAAAATCCACTATTTCTATGGTCATTTTCAATAGCTATGTTAAATTACCAGAGGGTATATACATGAATCCTTGCCCTCTTGCAAACTCACAATACGCACTCGCTCAGAAACCCTGATTTGTTTTATTCATTTTTTGGGTCCCATAGGGGGTGCTAGTCATTGTGATGGCATTTCAAAAGTGGGTGCGTTCACCCCCGAAGCCCCCTCTTCCGAAGCATTTTGTGTACCATGAAGATTCACTAGCCATCTACAGCATACACACCTTGTTTGTTGAGCATAATTCCAGTGCCCCTGGCTGAGTTCAGTGGCAATGCGTCCGCTTCGATGCATCGAGTGTTTGCGAGGCTTTCATCGAAGCTCATGTAACTGAGATCCTGCAAAAGCAATGTTGGGGCTTTGAAAGGCTTTGTCCGAGTGGAACTTCCATGACGGTATCTTCAAGATATCATTCTCAATGGGGAATATGGTTGCGGCTGGATTCTATATATAATATATGTACAAAGCCCCAATGATTTATACACATAATATATATAATATATAATATATAATATATAATATATACTGTATAATGTAATTGCAGGTACCAAAATGGATGGGAGCAGCTCCCGTCCTCAATTGGAGGTTGATGGCATCGGTGCCACAGAAAAATTCAGTGCTGCTTGGGGCACCCCAGAGCTGTGGGAGGCTCAATTGGCAATACTCAATACTCATATCCCAAGTAAAAACAGGGCAAATGTTCTGTTTTGCTCCCAACCAGGGAGTCAAAAAATTGGTCATCCTTTTGTAGCAATGTTGGGAACCATTCATTTGGGGCAATTTTGGTAGGGGCACTCATTCTGACCCAAACTCCAATCTTTTGGTCGGGTGAATGCTTCCCTTGGTTGGTGAAAACCTTGTCTTGGTGTGTGTGTGTGTTGTGTATGTCTACACGGCTGTCTCAAAATAGGGTATCCTCTACATCCAGTGGTTTCTCGTCATTTTCCTCATAAAAAACTGCTGACAAAAAATGATGATAAACTATATAACATGTCTGGACAAACCCACGCTTCCCCCCTTCATCTCCTATTGTTGGATATCCCATCCATTAAAAAAATAGCCCATATCAATTAATTATATCCCATATAGAATGAAGAATCAGACATTACTGAAAAATCCCATATATCATTCCATATACCTAATACACTGGATGGTGATTCATCTCATATTCCTATTAATGGACTGATGACCAAGCCCCGAAATATGTGAAGACAAGCAACGTTTTGCTCATGGCAGAATTTTCAGAGAAACGCCATATCAAGTGTGTAATTTTTTCCCCAATCTCAATCCCCATCAAAAGTCATCAATTTGTTGGTCATAACCACACCCCACGGCCGTTTATTGTTAGCTAGTTTATCCCATAAATTTCCTATATCTTTATCCCATTGATGACACATGATAATCCCATATATTATATCATCCATTAATGTGGTTAAGAAAATAATAAACCACCCATTTAGGAATGGTTTATAATATTTATACCACCTATTTTTGCAATGGTTATGACTGGGGGATGGTTCCTGGCATTGCTTTACCCACATTATTTTTCCTGGTTGGTGGTTTTAACCATCTTGAAAAACATGAGTTCGTCAATGGGAAGGATGACATCCCATACATTATGGAAAATAAAAGCCATGTTCCAAACCACCAACCAGTGATTATTAACCATTAACCATCATTAACCAACATTAACCATCATTACCCCATACTATGACCATCATTTTCCCATGATTTTTGGGGGTTACCTCATCCAAGTCATCAACCGTCCGCTCCTCCAAGGAGCTCATCGCTGTGGAGCCAACGGTTCCAACGGTTCCAACGGCCCAGCCAGGCAGCGGCACCTCACACTTGGGGATGGTAAAAAAGCTTGGGTTTGCCACATGAAAATACATATTAATACAAATGATTATATATATAGACGTTTTTTTTAGACATAGTAGTGGTTGCTTAGAATGGTTACAGTAATGATAAACTGATGGCTTTTTAAAGACTGGTTGAATCATGGCTATTTCTATTATTTCCACTATGAAAGCCCGACAGTAATTTCGAGTGATAGTCACGTGCTTGAAGAAGTGGCGACCACTTGTGGAAATCTCAATGCTTTGTTGAATCCAAAGGAAAGGTTAGGTTAATCTCATTGTCAAAGAAAAACAATGGATTAATCCGAAAATTCACGTGGAACCCAAATGAATTAATCCCATTGCCCAGCTTCCATGATAAATCTCAGAACCCAAGGAAGCTGCTGCTGTTTTAATCACCTTTCACCAGCAAACACTGTTTTGTTTCTCATACAACAAGGCAAACTTGTTTGGGTATGCAGGTTTCCTAAAATGGTGGTACCCCTAGTTATCATCCATTTTTTCATAGGATTTACCATTCTTAAACCAAGCAGCTATTGGGGTACCCCCACGTCGGGAAACCCCCATTTCTTCATGATGATGGCGGTTCTTGGTGGTTCAACAGAGTATTTTGGTGATGTCAAACCCCTGATGAACATCAGAATAGCTTACATCCTTGGATCCTCATCAGACTGATTCATATGGAAAATAACAAGCTAATTGACCCAGAAAAATATGCAAAATAACAAGTTTTGACTCATATATATATATATTGCAATGTGTTACATAATTGAAACCATTGTGAAAATCAACACAATGACCCGTAGTGCATTCCATGCTTGTAAAATGACAGGCTTGACCTATCCCCGTTGAAAACCCTTCCAACAAACCCACTGACATTCATTATTGGGAACTACAAGCGGGTGCATTCCAGGAATCGTAAGTTATACAATGATACAGTATTGGGATATATATATATATATATGTGGTTTGTAATATGGTTATGAGTCATGACGTATTATGATCTACTTACGATTCCTGGGATGCACATCCAAGTTAATAACCCCCAACCCATCAACCATCATTTATCAATGATATCCCTGTAGTTTTGATGGTTTAAACATGTTTAAACCCCACAAAACCAGATAAAAATAGATAAAACCCCTGTAATTGATGGTTATGAACCCATCAACAGGAGTAGTTTTAATGGCAGCAAGGACTTAATCCTGGAACGCCCACACTGGGTGAAGGTTCCGAATCGAAGCCTGCTTCTCAATTTCCTCCTGAACCACTGTTTTGGCCTGGTGGCGAGCAAGACAAATCAATGGTTCACCAAAAAGAAATAGGGATACCCTCTGGAAATTAACGCTTTGCTATGGAAAATCAGCATGTTTAAGGTAAATGAAATTAAATCATCTATAATCTATAAAATGCACCATTGTCCATCTATGTTAGTTTACTGGAGGGTAGAGCCATTCTATGTAGCACTCAATCCCATGTTTGGTCAGACATCGCTACTCTACTTGTGGGGATAACTGGTCAAACAGCTTCATCATCCAGCTGCAAATGAGAGAACCCAGTTCAGGGAATTACTTACTCATCTGGTTGGTGGTGCAATAACCATCTTGAAAAATATGACTTCGTCAATGGGAAGGATGACATCTCATATATGAAATGGAAAATAAAAGCCATGTTTAGAAAACCACCAACCAGTCATTAATTGTTAATCAGTTACTCGCTGGACCGCACATCCAAACATATCTTTGATAGTTGCACTGAGTCTAATCTGATACATTCCAGCTATGGCTAGCTTGATTTCACCTATTTAAAGCTATTGATTTCACCAGCCCCCAACAGAGTGCCCTATGCCAATCCAAAAACGCGCGGTGATTGCACCTTGGGGAGGTCAGAAAAGAGCAGTTCCACCAATCGGAGGCAGCGGCTTTCACTGACCTCAGCTGAATCTATTGGCACCATGGGATACCATGGGCCTGTTTCATGGCTATGGGTGGAAAATAGATGAAAATAGGCTACGATAGTAAGGCTTATTCGAGACATGTCAACATGAATCCCAAAACCCAACCTGGATCAGAGAAGCATGTCGAAAGGACATGCTTGGACATATTTGGACATTCAACACATCTTGATAAAGGGGCATGTGTTTGGGTGGTTCAAAGTTTCCGCCCACGCAACGAAAAACAGTGTTTGGTGCCGCATTCAGTCAAGATGTTCAGTTTTCACGTACCCATCTTACAGCTGTTCCGGTCCCGCAACAAATTCAAAGTTCTTTGCCTTGGAGTTGACTCATTTAACTACCATACAAGCAAACGCCCTTACCCCATCCATCTACTAGTTACCCCATCCGCTTTTCCCCGACCAACACCACCACACTCCCCGGACATAGCCCATTGGTACCCTGGACGGCGGCAAGACCTGGCGTGCTCAAAAGAACAAAGAAGGGGACAACTTTGAAGTTTGGGACCCAGGGAAATACCAAGTTAACTTCATTGGATGAGTTCATATTGGCTTTGATCTGGTTATAATATGGTTCATGTTATGGTGTAATAATATTACTCCAGACTAGACTCCAAACTCCTTCAAAAAGGTTAAGCTTCCCCTCCACTGCTACTACTAATTACTACTACTGCTCCTGCTAAATTCCAATGCACTTCCGGTTTCTAGAACACGAAACCGAACCGAACCGTTCCAATCTTTCGAATAGACTTGAACCGAACCGAAGCGAATGCATGCGCGAACAGAAATGTCGATGGCAGCACCATGGCAAAATGTTTGTCCCGCTTTTTGGATGCGAAAAAATGAGCGTCTAAAAATGAATCTTCCACAAGGTATTGATGGTTGCAATATGTTGAAATACCATGTCAATATAATATAATATAATCCCATCCCCCGAATATTAAACACCCAATTACTGTAGATGGCATAGATGGTCCCAAATATGTGGTTTCATCCCCTATGAAAAACCATGGTTTCCGAGGGGTGTTTGTTATTGGGTGGATTTGTTTGACTGGTTTCAAGTGGGAAGTCCACAAATCTTCGATAGGACACATATGGGGGTTTCCATAAACGGGGGTACCCCAAAATAGATGGTTTATAAGGGAAAATCCAATCTATAAATGGATGATTTGGGGGTAGCCCTATTTTAGGAAACCTCCATATCAATGATTACAAATCAATGGAGGGTTTTCCCTATCTTTGCTTACAAAAAGGTAGCATCTTTCATATCTTCCAAGGATCCAAGGAACAAAAAAAAGACAGATTCCACGACTCCATGGCTTGTACCCTCTGGTAAACGTTAACAAAAAGCGAACTGGAAAATGGCCATAGAAATAGTGAGTTTTCTCATTAATAGCATGGTGATTTTCCATAGTTATGTAAACGTTTACCAGAGGGTAACCATAGATCCTTGCCAGTGCAATCATGATGTGCAATATCACCCATTGTTGTGTCTTGACACTCCATTGTCCAGGAAGGACAACCACTAAATTTAACCTGGAACATCGTGTTCCATCTGGAACCTTACAAAATTGAGTTCCAAAGATGATTCTACCACTGAACTTTCATCGCCCCCCCCGGTTGGATTCCATGTGAAATTTCGCTGCTTCGATTCCCCATCTTTCCGAAGCAGTTCAATCCTCTCCTGATTCGGCGGATCCGAGTCCCCGCGATCCGCCGAACCTGTGCTTCTTCCGGAACCGTTGCGATGAGATGTGAGCAGTAGAGGTAGAACGAAAGCCTAGGCCGCGATAGTATCCACCACTGAATGATCATGAAGTCATCAATGTATGCTATAATAATGAAGTATAGATGATACTACAATATATATATATATATCTATATCTATATACATGTATTATGAATCAGTCCCAAATGTGATGAAAGGTACTTGTGCCAAGTCTTAGCAAGCAAATCTCCGAAATCCAGCCATTGTCTTGGGACTCAATATCACGAGCCCCCTTTTTTTTTCGCGAACAACGAGAATGTGTCACATTTTTCCAAGAGACTTTGACCATCTTTGACCTAAACCCATGAGCCATGGAAAAATGATCTGTCCATCTGAAAGCTTTGCAGAAATTTCTGTCCAACACTCTGAAATTTCTAGGAAAGTCGGCTGTATCGCCATGATTTTGCTGTCAAACATACTTGAAAACCTCAGGAAGGTTGATGAAAAAATCGCCCAAGATTCTCGCCTCAACTTACTGGGAGTTTTATAAATGCTGTCATGTACTGAGAATATATCCGGTGATCCAAAAATGGCACTCTTGGAAAACCACCACTTTTTTTTCGAACAGAAACCATCCATAATCTGTACAGAAAGCCCCCAAAAAGATAGAACAGTGTTTCCAGGATGCTACAGATGATGTTTTCCCTCTATTTTCCAGGGATTATCCAACCATTGGCCAATCACTACGGCCAATTTTCCTGGGATTTTCAAGGCCCCACCAGGCCCCAGGTGCTCGTCAAGATCGCGGGTGCCATCCAAAAAGTCGGCAAAGAGACCCACGGCCACATCCTGGGACCGGGATTCAAGCCATTTTTCGGATCCAAAGCGGGGAAGAGATGAACCCGTTTTTTGATAGAATTTATGCCCAAAAAATGTTAAATCCCATGATAAAATGAACATGTTGGGAATATAGTTACGATATTCTATTTAAAAAAGGTTGGTATAATATGTTTTTATAAAAATGTTTTTACATTGAAGGTATCCCATGATATTCCCATCAATGGGGAGAACAACTGGAATTTCATGGGAATAGAATGGGGATAGGGAGAGAGAGTAGCCATCAAAAGTCCACGAATGGTGCAACAACTAATATACACGGTAGTGGGTATATGGCACTTAAGGGTGCAGTTGAGGTTAAACGTGGCCTTTTCACCATGGGACTTCACCCTCCAAAGTTGGAATGTGGGTCCCTGTAACTATAGTTATATATCCACTTATAACTGGAACTGCACCAACAAGTACATAGTGAGGATCCAATGGGAAGTTTATGTCGTTATAGTGGGATTGTATCATCAACGAGGGGGGTTTAAAAACATCATGGGAATAGAATTGGCTATAGAACATTATAGAACAGGATTCAATGGGATCTTTATGTATATACACTGCCAGGACAAAAGTTTTTCCTCTTGGGTTACCAGACAGCACCCTTTCCCCACACTCCTCCAGAAGTTTCTATTCATGGATCACATCTGTAACTTTGACCCGCAAAGTTCAACATATTGGTTTTCCTAACAACGCGGATGCAAAAAAAAAAGTATTCCTGCCAAAGTGTGTACTTTGCATTAATTATAATATGATATAATATGTATGTTTCAACCAATCCTCTAAACTCTAAACGGACATTTATATGATGATTTCAGCTACAAACTGCAGGTTCACCAACAAGAATGGGTCAGTTGACAAGAACAGAAAGAGGATGAGCACCGTGCAGCGAAACCCCACAGGAAAAATCATCTTCCAGACCCAGTCTTTCAGGGTTCCAATGGCAGATTTCGGTCAATATCAAACTCCCAGCAACTCCGCCTGACATTTGATGACTACACGACTACACCATGTCATCAGTGGATATCTGCCCATCCTGAAAAGCTCATATTTCGTTTGTTCATGTTTGTTCCATCAGGAAAAGATCATCAGTATCTGATCCCATATGCGAACCATGGTGCTGGAATATTTATATAATTACCAACATTTGCCCCAAAAATCACCCAGTTTTGTAGGTTTTTATATTCCAGCACCATGCTTCGCATCTGGGGTTTTTCGTATCCCTCTCTCAGCCCCTCTCTCAGCATCCGCAGTCCTCAAGTCCTCCCCCCAAAAAAAATTGGTGCCTAGTTTCCATAGATTTCCCCCTGATTTCCCCAAGAAAAACCGAAACCAAAATCATAAAGTTGGCCCAGGCGCAGCAACCGCATGTTCACAAACCGCCTCAAGGAGCCTCAGGTGACCCAGGTGGTGACTCCAAAGCAGATGAAATTTCTGGGGTGCCATAGGCATTGTATAAATATATTGTAATATAGTGTGTATAATTGTGTATATCATATGTGACATAAATTTATTTATATATCTATTTATATATATATATATATATGTGATTCTACATGTATTGTTCATGCCCACTGACCCACTTATGAACTTGGGATGCACATCCAAGTACCCCACAACTGGCTGTTTCTCAGGAGGAAACGCTAGAAAAACAAGGGCTTGGGGTATTCAATTTATCTCAATTTTCAGACATACCCACATTGTGTCCTACAACTTTCAGGCAGATGATCCTGAAAAACCAACGATTCATCCGGCTGATTTTCCGATTTTCCCCATCTCAAATAGCAATTTTGAATGGGGCCAAAAAATTGCGATGTTCAAACCTGGCAGTGTGTCAAAACCTTGTACCCCTGTAGTTCACATCAAAATAGCTGGGATTTATGTTTGTTCATCCCCCTAAAAATGGTATTTTCATAGGTATTGATCCATAGCCACTTAAAAGATCAGCTGGGGTGATGCCAGGCTACTGCCAGGAGCGCTGGTGCACCAGACTCTTAACACCGACCTGCCGTCTCAACATCTCCTGACTGGTCGGGAGTTGGCAGCAAATCCAGCAATTTTCACGGGGAAGATGATGGAACCAGAGGATTTGGGAGCCGTTCCCCTAATGCTTCAGGCCCAACTTTTGGCCAATCTTTTGGCAGGATTCCATCTGGTGATGGAAATGACGGTACCCTGCTACCCTGGTTTTAACATAGAAAAAACCATGTTGCAAATGACGGTAAGTGGATGTTCAGTGAAACAGATGGGCCAAAAAAATGGATCCAAACGATAGGTCTTGACCAAAACTTCACCATCATCCAGCAGAAATCCCCATCCATTTTTTGGAGAAAAAACATCAACAACTCCCCAGAAAATCCACCAGAAATCGTCTCCTGCATGATGAAATGCATCTGCCTTCGTGGCACTTTGGCCTTGTCCCGGCGCCGATCTTCTAGGCCTCAAAAATAGGGCTTTAAGCAGTGAAAAATGGCTGTGAACCAACCAAAAAGAATGAAACAATTTGGATATGATTTGATATAACTTTTAAAGAAAGGCTGTGTTGCAACTGTTACAACTTTGATCTGGGCAAATTGGAGTAATTTACCAACCAGAAATAAAGGCAATTTGGGGATGGTTGGCCTTATACTAAGCCTTTTACTAAGCATGATTTCGAGTGACATCGTGGAGACGTTGTTGTTATTTACCAAGTTTCATGATAAATACGTTTGGGATAAAATTGTTGACAACTCAAGTATTTACATGTATTTACTAATTTCAAGATGCAATATATATTGGGAACATAACTTAATAACATGGAGATCATTTGAATTGGTTTTATAAATAACAGCAAAGTGAATCAAAATGATACCTATTAATCTACGTGTTATATGTACATCATCTACATTTACATGTATGTATATATATATATATATGGTACCAGTATATATGTTTACCATCATTCCAGTGAGGTCGCAGTTAGGTCGTTATCATTTACCAAATATGCATATATATATATATATGTATATGTATAAATATATTATAGGAATAATAAAACTGAAGTGATACATGCCCAAGTGATCAAGGAAAAAAAACAAAAAAAAGAAACTGTTCAAAAAAAATGTTCAAAGGAACACACTGATGCAATGCCTCAAAAGAAACAAGCAAGACAATCGCCCAAAAAAATGGAGACACCTTTATCGACACCCCCGCATACCCTCTGGTAATTTAACAGTTTGCTATTGAAAATGGCCATAGAAATAGTGAATTTTCCCATTAAAAATGGTGGATCTTTCCATAGCTATGTAAACGTTTACCAGAGGGTAAATCCCATTAAATCCCATTAAACCACCATAAAGCTTCATTAAATCACCATTTTCCTATGGTTTTCCTATGGTTTTCCTATGGTTTTCCACCCAAAAAAACACCAAACAACGGCGGTACGATCGGTTCCAAAAGGCGTTTCGCAGCATAAACCTCCGAAATCCAGTGCCGCAATTGCCTACGGCTGGATGAAACGTTTCACCGGGGAAATGGTCATATTAAAATGGCCATGTTTGGTTGATTCAATTTTAATGGTATTAACGGTTAATAATGGTTGAATAACGGTTAATAATTTTAAATTCACCTCTGAATTAACCGTTAATAATGGTTGATCATGTTGAAAATACTGTTTAGATAGATGGATTGATAATGGTGGATAGTGGTTACATATATATATATAGTATATATATATACACACTATGTATATACAATCCTATCCCCCGTTCAAATGAAAAAACACATGACTGGGCCCCCAATTCATGAACAAACCCAATATTTAATGAGGGTTTCATTTGGGGGGTATTAAAAAAAATGGCTTGAAAGGATTAGAGAATGATTCCCTTGAAACGTTTGGTCCTTGTGGGATTAATAGTTACCCTTACAATTCCCCTTAATGCGTCCTGATCCAACTCCAATGGCCCAGAAAAACTGCAAATGTTCCGCATGGCGTTGTCCTGTCACATAGGGGTACCCGGGAAGAGAAAAAGACGTGCCTTATCTCGTCCCCATCGAAAGGATCGAAGATTTTAGCGAAAATCCAAATCCGACACATGTATATATATATATATAGTTTCAATGTGCGTGCTCATTATATGTATGCTATATATATATATATACATTATTCTGCTATATATATATATGTATTAGATATATATATATATATAATGCAGATAATACTGTGTATATTATATATATATATCAAAACTGTACATCTATCAAATATACATATATATATATATGTATACAGTATACATGTAAACTGTACATGTATACATAATTGTAAATATGCATACGTTTACACATGTAGAATTACGTGTATATATATATATATATGTACATACCGTATAGATGTATATATATATATATTAACATATATATATATATTAACATATATATATACACATATATATATATATTAACATATATATATAAACATATATATATTAACATATATATATATATATAAACATATATATATATTAACATATATATATATATTAACATATATATATATATAGTATAGATTCAAATAGATACTATATCCCCATCATATCGATGGTTTTCACATCTCCCAGTCTTGACACATTCCGTTGCGAAACGCGAAGCGCTTACCACAGCGCGCCTCCGGCCCAGGCGCTTGTTCTCCTCGGGATCCTCCATGTTGCTGTAGGGAAATTGCCTGCGGCTGGGTGATGCCAAAAATCAATGGCCATTACATGACTGGTTGGTGGTTGAGCCCTACCCCTCTGAAACATATGAAAGTCAGTTGGGATGACTATCCCATATATTATGGAAGATAAAATCAATGGCCATGACCCAGGATCCGATTGAGGACGGTACCTACCATAGAAAAAAGGCCTATTTTTCAGGCCTATTTTTCAGGGAATATCCCCCCAAAATATGGCCTGAAAAATGGTACGTTTACGTACCTCCATCAATTGGATCCTGGAGATCTCCCATTGAAAAAATGGTGGATTTTGTTTGATCCCCCCCATGGTTCTTTGAAGACCCTGTGATTACCTGTGGTTAATGGAAACAAAATGTGTCACGCCTACTAAATCATGGTTTTTATAGGTTTTTATGGGGGATATAATGGGAGTCGACTCCCCATCCTGCAAAACAACGGGCCAACTCGCCAACTCTGCCGGTCCACCCAGATCATCGAGCCTATCTCGCTTCACATAGGTGAGATCCACCCCCTGCAGCACGGATGATGAAAGGTGTGACATGGAAGTTGTCATACTTCATGCAGTCTTCGGGTAGGACACCAATCAGATTCGACATGATTCGACTGTGATGGGTCCACTGATGTTTGGATACAGGTACCAGGGTGATTAGCAGCATGGCAATCTGAATCCCCCCAGTTGTTCAGTCCCAAGGCAGAACACGGGTGCTATGGGCAAGACATATACATATACACGTATGTGTACACGTATGTGTATATATATATAGTTATATATATGTATATATATATGTATATGCGTAAGGTGTATATGTACATACTGTCTAAAAAATGGGGTCGATCCAATGATTCTCCTACTTTAAAAGCATGTTACACATACGTGTCTGTTTTGAAAATTACACTTTCCACCTCCATTCACAATGCAAAGGTATGCTGGGAAATCAGAAATGGTATGCACTGAAACAAAGTTTATAACACATCAAAACATTGTGTGGGCTCAAATGCCAAGAAACCGAGGAATAGTTATATACAGTACAGCAGTGAAAATATCTCGCGTGTAAATACATTCGAATATATTCGAATCAAGGCTACACGTTCTTGTGGGTGAAGGCAAACAAATTTTGCGTCTGTGCAAGAAACATGGCCGTAGTTGCGGTCGATTCCTCGTTTACCCAAGTGGGGTTGATCTCCTTTAGCTTCCCATCAATCAATGAGCCACGTGCACCGGACAAGACAGCACATCAAGACGACAGGAGGAATGACTGTAAAGGAGGCAGGATCTAGTCTGCAAACCGAAGAACTGTGCTCAACAACAAAAATACACGCAGTTAATCAGATTAGATTGAATCATGGAAAAACCCATGAAAACCGTTTCATGCTGGTTTATCATTTCTATATACCCTCTGGTAATTTAACATAGCTATTGAAAATGGCCATTTATAGTTGATTTCCCCATTAAAAATGTTGATTTTCCATAGCTATGTTAGTTTACCAGAGGGTATTCCCAGGAAATTTTGCTTCAAACCCCATTGTCATCCCAGGGTCGACCTCCGCAAAGGGGCACCGGAAGAGTCGCATGCGTTGCGCCTGGAGTTTCTGGATTCCAGTGGAGTCGTAGTACATAAGTAGTGATATACTATATATATATAATGTACACACACAATATGTATGTATATAGTGTATGTACCATATATATATAGTGTATGTATATATATATATATCCCATAGGATCCATGGTGCTGCTATATATGGTAACATGGATCCCATCAATATACCCCCTTTATGTTAGCATATATACCAGCACCATGGATCCTATGGGATATATATATAATGTACACACACACACATGTATGTATATATATATATGTGTGTGTATATAATGCATATATATATATATATTGATTGCTGAATGAGGATGTCCTAGGAATATCACCAGCCATTTTAGGCGATATTTTGTGGAATTCATGGGATAATTCTCTCTGGCAACAGGTTTGTATGGAAAGTGGATGAAAATGTCCCATTTAGTTCGATGATTTCCACATTAACATGATGATTTTCCATGATTTTCCATGGTTATGTCGAATTACCCCAGGAACATAACCACTGGCAACCTTGGTTTGACACTGGATCGGTTTAACTTTTTGGGGTCCCATCTTGGTAATTTGGGGAATGGGGTTGTAGGAACACCAAGGATTGTTTCCCTCGTTGGCAACTTCTGGGTAGAATCCTTCAACTTTCCACAAGGATTGTGATATAAAACTTGATCACATGTCTGCGAAAAACTCCACTGACCATCTTCAAAATGAGTAGGTATCTTGCCTTTTTACCCTTGGTAATCAAACAGCTGGAAAAGCCCCCACTTACAGATCATTTCTCCATTCAAAATGCCCTTTTTTCGGCCATTTCCCAGGGGCCCCCCTATTCAACACCAGGTCGCATCCAGTGGAATGTCAAGAAGTTATGACCCATTAAAATGATTAAAAATGGATGAAAAATGGATGAATAGATGATTAGTAAAATGCTTAAATGACTAAAAACGGATGAATAGAAAGTAGTTGTACCCTCTGGTAATTTAACGTAGCTATTGAAAATGACCATTTATAGTGGATTTTCCCATTAAAAATTGTGATTTTCCATAGTTATGTTAGTTTACCAGAGGGTAGTTGTATCATTACAACACCAGGTTGTAACGACGAAAACCCGCCGCCTCTTGCTCCGCTTCGAGCGCAGCCGCACGGCCCTTGGCCCCGGCGGATGGCTAGCGCAGAATGTCTCTCTTTGGCTGTTGGCTGTGGGGGCCCCAACATAAAGTGCTTGTTGTTGTACAAGCCCAAAGCATAGATATATGATATATATATATATATATATTATTGTATGATTATATACGTATATATATATACTGTGTATGTGTATATATATATATACTGTGTATGTGTATATATATATATACTGTGTATGTATATATATATATATGTTTGCGCCATAAACCCTAGTTGCTGTAGTGATAAACCAGCTGGCTATCTTGGGGACCCACGTTGTGGGAATCCTACCCAAACAGAATCGGGGATTGAAAAAACTGTGGTTTCTGGTTTGAAGTCTCCGGCACCTGTGTCCCAGCACAACCGCAACAGACCGTGAGGTGAGTAAAAAAACACTGAAGCGATCGCAAACTTGTGAAATGTTCAAGGAGTGTGATCAAAAACCATGTCTAGTAGTATTGGCCCTTAACAATGACCTTCACTACATGCATTCCGGGGAGATAGCCCAAGTTATCCTGGTCGCTGAAATTGTGGAAAAAGGTAAATGCTTTGCACCTTCATCACAGCAGTCCCCGGTGTCAAATCCCCAGAACACCCCTTCTTCCACACCGGGTAGTGCAAATTTTATTTCTCCCCACCTGCCACGTGAGGGTCTCTAGATTTTAACAAATGTACAACTCCTTCTCCTCCTCGCTTTCCGTCGCTTTCCGTCGCTTTCCTCCTCTTCTTCCTCGTCCTCTTTCTCTGCCCCGGCACTGGAGCACGCCCCCGAAGCCTATCGCGAGCGCCCTCAGTGGAGCACGCCTGGACCCGGACGCATGCCAGAGAGAATGTCAGTTTTTTATAGGTCAGATAGAATGCCAGATTGATATATAATTCATAATATATTGGTATGTCAGATAAAATGTCAGTTGGTGGGGATCACTGTTTTTTTCTCGACAACAATAATCATTCAATGAACCAATAGTTCATTCTTATGATTATTATGTCAATAACTGCCATTGAAATTGACCATTGAACCCTATCAACTCCTGGATGTCTGTGGAACACTGGGGTCTGACCTCACTAATATGGTACTGTAAACCCAGTAACAAAGCATACGCAATGTTACCATAGCTGGGGGCTAAAATCATCCTCGAATGGTAGGTTTATGGCATTGGGTTTACCACATTACATCTTGACTTTTGCTGGGCTTCGTATCCCCCAGTTCCAAGCCATACTGTAGCGATTGCTTTGCTTCTAATCCAATCTCTGGGCCAGCCAACAGCGTCACACTCTTCGGGCTGCTGATCCTATTGCGGGTCCCCGCAAATTTTGGTGTGATGGGCTACGATCCATACCCATTTGCAAAGGAAAGTGGACACTTTCCTTACTTGCGTTCAACTGACGACGTGTTTTCTCATCATGCTGCAGCCAGTCTCAATGGCTGAAGGAATTCACCAAAGGCAAGGTCACCCAGCAACCCAGTGGCACATCTTCAAGTTGGGGCTGTTAAACAGCCCGCGAGTCTGCCGTTGAAAACACGGGAAAACGATTGGTCCAAAATCTTCACAACTGCAAGTGAAAATAGTGCCTATTGTTTCATGAAAATAGATCACCTTCAGTTTCAATGGAAATCGCCACGTCCCGAACATCATCTTCCACCACAGTTTCCAGCACCTCTGTTTCTTTCACCTCTTCCAGAGCTTCCGGTCCGACTTCTGCTGGCAGCCTAAGGCCCGAGGCCCGGCGCATGTCGTCCGATGATTTACCTAAATTCATTGTTTTTTTTTCATGGCAAACTCTTCAATTCCCAGAGGGTATCTCCAAAATCATAGAAAAATTACCAGGGTTTCGCACATGGTTTCTCGTCACTAAAAGGTCCAAAAGATGCCATTTTACAGGCTATAACCATCTATAACCCTCCGCCCAAATTGGTTCATTTGCGGGTCACCTTCTGGTGCTGTGTGATCGAAAACTGGGATGTTCCATTGCCACAAATTGCCATAAATTCAAAGAGTACCCGTGGGATTTGCTCAGTAAACACGCAGTTCTTGGTTCATAAATACCCATAGGATCCATGGTGCTGGTATATATGCTAACAGAAAGGGGGTATATTGATGGGATCCATGTTACCATATATAGCATACATGGATCCTATGGGATATCCAAGTGTCTGATGCTTTCGAACACCCTCGGATCCCGAAAAATGCAATAAAAATGCGACATCATGGAAAAACTTGGATGCTAAAGATACTCAATATGTTCCGAAGCACCAAGCAACTTACATCAGTCCTGGCTTAGTGATCATGATATTGACTCGTTCCCCAAGGCTAGGACTTAAAAATATGTTAACGTTCCCTTCATTTTAATGTGAATAGATGGATCAATAGCATCTTAAATACCCTGTCTTTTGAACAGATGAACATCCATAAATCCCAGCGATGTTCGGCAAGGGACTCCATCTCCGTCGCGGGCACTTCTCGGCGTTCAGGATCTAGGTCAAGGCTCAGAGAACGGCCTGAACCGGTCACGGGTAGGGGAAATCAAGGATTTGATGCTGGTTTGACATGGTTTAACCATGTAAAAAACCAAGAAAGTTGGTGATTTTAATAGTTGATATTGACTATTATTGACTATTGAGAACTGTTTGTTGGTTGAGTTCACGACTTTTTGACTTTTGGGTTTTGGGACAGACACATTAAGAGAACTAACAAACCTTTGGGTGCCCCACCTTATAGGGATGCTTCAGAAAGGTTCAATCTGTGGTGGACACCAGCTTTGACCAACAAAAAATGTAAAGATTAAAAAAATGGAAATGGAGGCTTTATTTATTTACAAAGATGGAATATGATTAGTGAACATCACCAAATAGGAAGTAGTTGGTGAATGGGCTGGGGGTTCAATCTTCTTTACACTTAGTACTTAACTTCAATACCAAGACATGTTTGTCTGGGTAACAAACAGTAAAACACGCTGCAACAAGCGTATCATGTTCCACGGGCTCGATAGCTAGATCCAAGTTCAACCCCAAACCTACGATCTAGATCTTTAGTTTCTCGGAGGGACGCAGATGATCCCAAACATAGATCAATTGACTTCATCTTCTCTAGCGTAAGACATGTCTAGCGTAACACGGACTGGTTGCCTGCAGCATAGCCCATTCAGAGAGGATTTCCCCGCCATGTGGAAAATTACTGAAGGCTACGTCGAAAAATACACATGATCAGCATCACTTGGGGATGCCCAGTAGCATACCCTCTGGTAATTTGTTACATAGCTATTGAAAAAATGGCCATTGAAATAGTGAGTTTTCCCATTAATAGCATGGTGATTTTCCGTAGTTTTTTGTAAACGTTTACCAGGCCGGGTAACCCCAATTTTTATGAAGGGGATAACCCAGCCTGCCAGCTCCTGAGCTGGGTCAGCCACATCCTGGCGCTGGCTCGGCTCTGATATTTTCTCATCCAAACGACACCGTGTACCCTCTGGTAATTTAACATAACTATGGAAAAATCCACCATTTTTAATGGGAAAATCCACTATAAATTGCCATTTTCAATAGCTATGTAACAAATTACCAGAGGGTAGTTGGTTATGAGTCAAAACCCTGGTACCCAGTCAAAAAGGTACCTGAAAAATTATGAAAATAGATGGTGAATGAATTTGACCTATCCCCCAGTCATATGGTAATTTCATAGGTTTTGACCTATCCCCCATCTAGTCATGAATTGAAGTCCATTTTATCGGATGGGATTCATGGGCTGTCATGGGATTGAATGTGGGGTCTGCTCACTTGATGATGTGACAACCTAAAATAATCTCCAGATGTTATAATTTTTGGGGGTCATTTGATACTTTCCTGATTTGATACATGTGATGAGTTTGATCGAATTTGTATATATGATGTATATATTTGTGTGGTTTTGATGGGGTTGGCAGCCCCCAAAATTCTCGATGTTCAACAATAAATGGCTGTTCAATGAAACATTTATGGACCGCTTTGATTCTCAAATGGATGAAACCGTGAACTGAATGCCAGAAGTTGGACTTCAGGTCATTCTTTGATGGCGTTCCCAAGATTGAAATTTACATCCCAAGCGTCGCGTTTGTGAGGAGACCACATGTCTGGGCGAGCAAAGGAGTCAATACCCAAATGATATCAATTGATCATGCGAACTTTGGGATAGAATTCTTAGATTATGATATCCCCCAATGAATTCGGTAATATAATCCCCTAATTTCATCAGCAACAGGGGTTAGCAGGCACTGGCCCTCTGGAATGTATCCAGGGACCGATATGGCAAGGTACGATGATATGCTGGATCGATTATATACATATTATCGTCGTCATTATCATGATCATGATCAATAGTACGATTATTATCATTACTATTATTACTATAATTACTAGTCTTACTAATATTTCTATCACTAGTTACTATTACTAGTAATTATTATGATTACTATTACTATGATTATGTTAACTTATGATACTGCAGAGATTTCGTTGAATGATATGCTAAATCGATGAAACACAAACCTTTCAATAAACAAACGCTTGCGCCTGCTCCAGGCTGCCGGCCTGGCACTGATTCAGATGGCCGCAGATCAAAGATATACATGGTGATTTCATGGTGATTTAACCATGGTTAATAATGGTTAATAATGGTTAATAGTGGTTAATCCAAAAATCATATCTGGTTGGTGGTTTTAACCCCTCTGAAAAATGATGGACTTCGTCAATGGGAAGGATGACAACCCATATAGAAAATGGAAAATAAAAAATGTTTGAAACCACCAACCAGATATATATACTTATCATATATATTGTGTATAAAGAGGATTCTGTACCAAAACTTGGAGCTTTCACAAGAATGTGTTCAAATTCCCTTTTATCCTCAAAACAAATTGATAAGTCGTCCATTAACATGACATAACATGACCTTCTGGAGTGACCAAGCCTCCGGTTTACCACCAAAAGGTGATGTTGCAACCTGGAAATTTGGACTCCGAGCATCGCAGCAGACAAACCCGCCTGAAGTGCAGAAATACCTTGACCTCATTAGGCACAGCACGATGCCACAGCCCGAGGATACAATGAAGATCAACGCAAAACCATCGCAATTAACACATTAAATTGCATTAACATGCAAAAATGTAGAATATTGATCAATATTGATCATGGACACCCCAGGCCAACCTTGAGCAACAAACCGTCACGAGATTTCCTAGATCGAGGCCTGGATATCTCTTATGGGTGAGTTCGCCAGGATCCCATCAGCAAGTTGAGCGGAACATCGTTGGGTCCGACGGTCCTTACATGTGTGAATTCATGATATGAATGAATATAAGACAAATGTATCATAATATAATATAACATTGTATAGTATAGTATAATATTAGTATAAGTATTAGTATTAGTATTAGCATTAGTATTATTATTAGTATTAGTATTAGTATTAGCATTAGCATTAGCAGTAGTACCGCACAAGGCGGTGGCGGAAGTTTCAGAATAGGAAACCTATAGGAGACGTTGGTTGTTGTGAATCACGGATGGCAGAGCGAATCCACTGATTGACCGAAAGGTGGTTGGAGTTGTGTTTGCTGGAATGGTTGCAGTGGTCACCTCACCCACAACTGCTGGATGTAGTGTGATGTACTGCAACTGTAGTTGTAGCTGTAGCGTAGTGGAGTTGTAGTTGTGGTGTAATGTAATTAGTGTAGTGTAGTTGCAGTCATATAGTTGTAGCTGTAGTTGTTTTGTAGTTGTAGTTGTAGTTGTAGTTGTTGCAGTTGTAGTTGTAGTTGTAGTAGTTGTTGTTGTTGTTGTAGTTGTAGCTGTAGTTGTTGTGTAGTGTAGTTGTAGTTGTTGTGTAGTGTAGTTGTAGTAGTAGTTGTTGTTGTTGTAGTTGTAGTTGTTGTAGTTGTAGTTGTTGTTGTTGTTGCTGTTGTTGTTGTTGTTGCTGTTGTTGTTGTAGTTGTTGTAGTTGTAGTTCTAGTTGTAGTTGTAGTTGTAGTTGTTGTGTAGTTTTAGTTGTAGTTGTAGTTGTTGTAGTTGTAGTTGTTGTTGTTGTTGTTGTTGCTGTTGTTGTTGTTGCTGTTGTTGTTGTAGTTGTTGTAGTTGTAGTTCTAGTTGTAGTTGTAGTTGTTGTGTAGTTGTAGCTGTAGTTGTTGTAGTTGTAGTTGTTGTGGTTGGTGTTGTTGTTGTTGTTGTCGTTGTTGTTGTTGTTGCTGTTGCTGTTGTCGTCGAAGTTAGGGTAGTTAAGTTAGTGAAGTTAGTCAAGTTAGTCAAGTTAGTTAAGTTAATCAGTGTCTACTTTTTCGACATCTTCACGTCAAAAAAGGCTCAAAACCCTCAGTTTTTTTACACTTTTCACTTCGAAATGTGCTTCGCGCCACAACGGCGTGCACTTTTTCGACACTTTTTCGACATCTGAACCTCCAAAAGTGGTCCGAACTGTATTTTCAGGTTTCAGCTGGGGTTATCTTATAATCCCAAATAGACTGATAAACCTATGGGGCAAAACTAGAAACCGTTAAGCACCTGCGGCAGCAGCGCTTTTTACTGAGCCGCAACAGCTGTGGTAACATGCTAGTATACATGTGTGTTTTATGTGAGGTGCTTTTACACCCCCCTCAGGTGAGCCGGTTACGGCGAGGATGCCACATTTACCAGGGCGAGGTCTTTAAGACCTGCCTCACCGAACTGGCTCTTCGCAAACCCAAGGGAAAACACACTCAGCGGCTATTATACAAAAACCGATCGTCGATGTAAGCAGTTTCACAACTTATCCCTCTTCCCACTCAACACGGCCATGCCTGATGACTTTCTCGTACCAGCGCCCATGCCACTTCTGCCATTCTCCAGTGTAACGGCGATCATCGTGGGACTGACTTTGCTGAGGGCGGTTGATCCACTGACTTGCAGACGTTGATGATGAAGCTACCTCTACGGTGGATGGTCGGGCAACCGGTTTGGCGGTGCCTTTCTTGGAGGGACCTTGGCCATACGCTCCAGTCTGCTCAGCTTTGCGCTTGGCCTCGTTCTGCTCGCGAGCCCTGTCAGACTGCTTCTTCTTCTCTGCAGCGTTCTGCTTGTACAGCTCCTCGTTTTGTCCCTTGATCCACCTCAAATGACGTTCAGCATCATGAACAGCAATGTTGTCAACACCAGTACAAGACAACAAAAGATTGTGTCCAGGATTCCGGTTGAGGTAGTCAATGTACTCTTCCTCGGAGTAGATTTCCGTACGGTACATGTAGAACCATGGTTGGTCGATGTACCTGAACGATTTCGGGACATCAAGACGGCTTGCCAAATCCAAGTAAACCAGCCTCATCGCGTTGTGCTCCAGCTGAGATTGCTCAGAAACACCCATCTTGACCTGAGCCTTGGTACGACCTGGCTTTGGCAAATGTGCAGACTTGAGGAGGTCGTACCTTTCACAATCGTACTCGTTCTCCCCCTCGTTCAGCACGCTCTCTGCGAATGTGGCGTCCTGGGCAAACCTGTCAGCCACAGACACATAGCCCAAGCTCAAGGCACGGTCAAATCGACTCTTTGCCCTTGCCAATAGACTGGCTTCCGGACTAGAGCTTCCCCTTGCCTGGTCGTCCAACAAACCCAAAGATTCAAGCTGACTGTGTGTGATGCTCTGCAGGTACTCACCACGAAAATCATAGTACAAGCCCAGCTTGTGAAGGGCGGCCTTCTTGCGTTCTGCAATCTTGGTTCGGTCGGCCTTGTTCACCCCTTCGAGCATCAATCCACACACATCGCATTCAATCTGTCCCTTGAAAGTCTGTGCAAAACATCTTGAACATTGCATGACTTCAATCTTGACCGGCACCGGCTTCTTGTCCTCCTTCTTCACCTCTTTCTTCGAAGGTTGGTCATCGCCTTTAGGGCGAGACTTCTGCTTTGGCACCAGTGACTTGGATGTTGATGCCGGCGTCTTTTTGGGTGACTCTGCAACTGGAGCTTTTGGATCTTTCTGTACTGCTTTCGGCGGTGCAACTTTTGAAACAGGCTCCAAGAAGGCCGCAGCTGATGATGCCGCAGGCACAGCTGCGGGCACGCTTGTCAGGGCTGCCTTCTTCTTTGCAGGTTCCTCCTTTGCTGCTGCATCAACTTCTGAGGTCACAGCTTTTGGAACTTCTGGTGCATGAGGTGCAGAAGTCCCTTCCTTCGGTGGTGGTTTTGGAGGTGCTTTTGGCGGTGTCTTTGGGCTCTCAACCTTTGCTGCAGGAGGTTTCGGGGCTTCACCCTTCGGAGGAGAGGGCAACAATCTGCTGCTTGCATATCCAGGCATACCGGCAAGTTGGGCCACATTTGGTGGCGGAGGCTTCACCTTTCCTGGGAAAAATGCCGTTGCAATGGGCGCGCCAGTTGAGGCGGCCGGAGACGTGGAACCAGTCCGTTTTGATGCCTTGGC